GCCCAGCAAAACCATGCTTAGAGTATATATTTTTTATATACTCTAAGCATGGTTTTGCTGGGCAACAACCCATATATGATATAACATTTTGGTCTATATATGTACCATTGTAAAATAACAAAGTGTTGAGCTAAACTTAATACATAATAAAAAACATACCGTGACATATTGATATTATCTTTCTCCCGTTTACGTATAATTATTTTTCTAATCAATTGAAATTTTATATGGCAAAGCAAAAGATATTATATACTCTATATATATATATAGATGTATCAAGAAATATCTATCTTAATCGAAATGAATATATGTAGTGAATTATGCATAAATATTGATATAGAGGTAAAGATGATAAGTTCCCAAGCTATCGAGTAGCTCCAAGACACAATTTGACCCAAAATGAGTTGTGGGACGCCCATCATTAGCGTTAATCATGATTAAACATTTTTTTAGCGTTAGGCGCGTATAATTTGTTACTCAAAAAATCGGCCATCACTTTTCTAAGTCACTTAATACTGCTTTGTCTCATGTTTTCATGGATTAAAAAAGACTCAACAAGGTCTGCAAACACGCAGGCCAAGGAATTAAAAACACTTGATCGTGATAAAACTATAGGATATTTTAAACGGTGTTTAGAATTTCTTCCAAAACAATACGAGAGTAATGACACTCACAGGTAACGAAAAGAGCACATCCCGATTTGTAATGAACATAAGATTAAACTGGCTTTTCAATATGTATAAAACTTTTTTTAACATGGCTTTATTGCTTTCAATGTTAGAATGACTTTGGCTTTTTATTCTTTATCAGGATTAGACCTTTTAGGCGTTCTTGAAACTGAATTTACACAAGAACGAATAAATAATTGGATTGATTGGATATATGCACAACAAATTCTGCCTGACGAAAATGATCCTGGTACTTCATACAAATGGATTTATGGATTAACACGAGAATATATTAACAATAATTTTGCTTAATCGAAACTCAGAGCTCAATGAAAGGATTTGTGGTTTCAGAGGTTCTCCATTTTCAGGCCTACCATATAACCCAAACGGAGTAAATTCAAACTTCATAATAGGTGTAAAGAAATATTATTAAGATTGCATGACAAAATTAACGCGATACTTTATATAAATATGAATTTAGTGTCGCGCATCACGATTACCGTTCGATGCATCAAACCTTGCAATGACTTATACCGCCCTGGCTTCTTTACTCATATTAGGAGATGATTTGTCACGTGTAGATAAATCCGCCATAGTTAATGCAATGAGATATCTGCAAAAGGAAGATGGAAGGTAAGAACTCACCTCATTTTACAGATATTGCTATGCAGTCTTGACAGGTATTTTTAAATTAATATTTCGTTAGCTTTACTCAAACATATCAAGGCATGGAATCTGACATGCGGTTCGTGTATTGTGCGTGTGCCATATCATATATATTGAACGATTTCAGTGGGATTAATATAGACAAGGTTGTTCAATATATAAAAGAAAGCCAGGTATCAATCTTTTGTAATGCTTGAATTTCTTTAACGTTATAAAATTTGTAAATTTGATGAATTTCGTTTATGATTTAACAAAGTCATACGATTATGGTATTGGTCAAGGGCCTGGTGAAGAATCACATGGTATGTCTATCGACCTTTGACAACATAAATAACAAAAACTAATTAAAATTTACATAGGAGGATCGGTATATTGTGCTATCGCTTCACTTTACCTTCTAAACAAGCTTGATGAAGGGCTTTTATCAAAAGATAAAACAATATTCTGGCTTGTATCACGCCAAGAAAGTGGATTTCAAGGACGGGCAAATAAACCACCTGATACATGTTATTCATTTTGGATTGGTGCATCGTTAATGGTTTATATCTCTTATTTACGAATGAACAGTTCCGTAATTACGCTTTATGATGATTTATAAAATTACTTTTATTTATAAAGATATTAGATTCTTTTGAATTTATTGATTATGAACAGAATTATAATTTTTTAATGGAAACTAGAACTTCACTTGGTGGATTCTCAAAATGCCCTGGATATTATCCCGGTAATGAACGCCTTACAGTAATTACTCTATTAAATTAATACTAATACTGAGATTGTATTTTCTATTTTTCTAAGACGTAATGCACACATATATGGGAGTAGCTGGATTATTGCTTATGGAAGAATCAAAGAAGTTAGATCCGGCATTGAATATATCATTGAAAGCAAAGAAAATTTTATTAAATAAAAGTGTATTTAAAAGAGGATGATGCTATAAATGATAATTAATATTATATTTTTAAACTATATATTATATATTAAGCTATTTGTAGCTTATAGAAACATATTTAAGAAACATATTTAAAAACCTAATTATTTTTATTACTAAAGCTGATATATTGCACAGATTAAATATGTTCAAGATTGATTTGATGAGAATTATTAGAATTAAACAATTTGTATTTTTTCTATAATAGTAGCAAAACTTTATTAAATTTAAAAAAAATAAAATTTCTATAAGGCGGCATCCACAATTTATTGGGTCCTGCATATACTAATTAAGATAGCAGTCGCACTTAAACCAGGAACGTAGCATATAGAGTTTTTGTCTTGAAAACCACATTATACCGGTCGTTAAA